AGTAGATTTTCTAGCAAAAAGTGTTCCATAGCCAGGAGCTACCACAGAGACTCCTCTTCCCCAATCAAGGGGATTCTCTTAATGTCAGAATGAGGAGGCGCTCATAAGAAAGTCTCTGGGGATGACTTTTAAAGCATAGACAGATCCCCACTGTGGCCACACTTGTTAGATTAAGAATAAGGATAAAACTATGATCTCCTTTCTTCAAAAACAAAATAGCTTTGTGGCTTTCTAAAAACTAGCAGTTGTATTATTACAAAAACTTCCTGTGAATCACAACGTACTTCATCAGATGCAAAGAATATAGTTCTATGAGAAAATCATCATACATGCTGTTGCTAGGTAAGAGAAAAGATATGGAAATTGGGGGCGGGGGTGAGTAAATGATCAAGCTTCTGTTGCTTTAGAAGTGATATGAAGCAAATGTAAGGCATATCCCAACTTTTGCATTTCCCTATTTTTCTTACGTCCTTCCCTCTTCCTCCCTCTGCCAGAACACCTGTATATATTCTTCTCATGGGCAACACACTCAGTGTCTGAGGAAGTAGACTGCAATCCATGATAGCTTATATGTCATAATATTTGTTTTGGTTGGTTGGTTGCAAAAGACCACTTATGACTACACTCTATGGAATTTCCTCAAAGAGAGTGTTGAGAAATTAGAACATATAGATTATAATCCATGATCCACAAAGAATATACTGTAAAAGGGAAACTTAAAAAATCACTATTTTCTTGATTCCCAATTATTTAGAGTTGTTTGCATTAAACAAAATCTGTATGATTTTAATTTACTTTCAACAACCATCGTTCTTGCTTTCTGCTCTTTGAATTCATCCCTGTGCTACCTCAGGAATTAAATAAAATGGAGTTCTCTGGATTGTATATTGCACCTGGAAAGTTTTAGAGTCGTATTTTCATTGTCAGGCTATTTCACAATATTGAGGAAAGCAACTGAACTTCTCTATAATATAGTGGTTCTTAAAAGTTTATGAATCGCTTTGAATTTTCAATATTTCTGCATAAATAAGGCCTAAAATGTGATCTATTCTCCACACAAGTCTGAGAACAGATCACATTTTAGATCATACTTATGCAGAAATATTGAAAATTCAAAGGGATTCACAAACTTTTTAAAGACCATTGTCACAGTTTTATCAAAGATATTTGTTTGTTTATTTTTGTTAATACATTATCAATTGTAGTAATAATACTCTTTCATGGTAGAGTTTTCATTGTTGATTATTTCCTGAATGTTCCAGTAAACAAATTTAAATGAAGCACTTTAGGAAACCATTCTATATGCTAAAAATATACTAAAAATAATGTGGTCACATGACTTAGTACTTTACCATGAAAGCATAATCTACAGGTTTAATTTGCTTTCTCATTATATTTTTGATATTTTCTTCTAGAGAGGCCCAGTCTAAATGACTTCCTCTATAACTGGGTTACTATTGCTCCTTGTGCAAAGGAAGACAATTCAATTTTATACTCTTTAATTCTTTCCGTTCTTCCTGCATGACAGCAGTTCTTTTAAATTGATTTTTATATGGTATATTTCAAAACAAATGCAGATGAGGATAGTAAAAACAAAATGGTGTTACGATAGCTGATCAGGTACCATGGCTATGTATTCAGTTGTCTGTTGTTTTGATAAGCATGTAGATAAAAATGAATTCCTTTTGTGTTCTGCTTTTGTATTAGGGAAATATTGAATGGAGGGGAGAATCCATATTCCTGGTTAATGACCTCTAAAGAAAGCATTATGGACGAAAGCTATCATAATCAAAATCAATTTAATTAGAATTTATTGGACTTTGTTTTCTACCTTATGAGGAAGACACTAATATACATACAGTAGCATTATGGATTCAAGACATTTTGTATGTGTGTGTATGTCACACACTGTTGCATCAATGTGGAAATAGCTTGTTTCCACCCTAATCCTATCTAGAAAAATGGGTCTCATGTCTCTTGATAATACATCCATTTTCCCTTAAGGTAAGTAAAGGTTTGTGTGCCTTTGTATATTCTCTTTTGCACTAAACAAAGTACCACCAAAATATCACTATTTCTTTGAATCCAGTGAGTTGAACCTTCAGATAAATACTTATTTTCAGTGCTCGGTTCAGATCCAGGAAAACTCTAAGAAGCTTACCTACCCCTCTTTACAGTATGATGGTTAAAATAAATGAACAATATTTGCATTACAATTAGAACAACCCCAGTGCCAGAGGAACAACACAGTAAATATACCCATAAAAGGAGGAGCTCACCACTCATAACAGTTTGCTCCCAAGGCATCTGGAATAACTACATTGTTAAGGCTTTCTGGAAAATCAAGGTGTCAATTTGACAGGGGGAGAACTATTCCAAGGAAAGGAGGCCACAACAGGAAAGGCTCATCATCATAGTCCCTGCAGATTATGTTCTGTAAGGGAAGGGGGCCTGAGGGATTCCACCCTCCCAGAACTTACTGGATAAACAGAAGCCACTGGGAAAAGGAGGTCCTAAGGGCATCCATGTCTTAAGCCATGAAGGGCTTTAAAGGTGACAAACAGTACATTGAATTGTGTACCCAGAAGGAAACTGTAGCCAATACGATTCTCAAAGTAGGAGTGTTACACAGGAAAACTGTTGCTACATTCTGGATTAGTGGAAGTTTCTGAGTGATCTTCAAGGACAGCCCCATTTGGAGCTCTTTCCAGTAATCCAAATTAGGATTATTATGAGGATATAACTAATGAGTCACTGTAAGCAGGGCCTCCCCATTTAGAAGAGAATGTAACTGATACCTTAAATATAACTGCCACCAGCTCTTCAAATAGGATCTACAAATCCAAGGGCACTCCTCCCACCAGATTACAAAGCAGATCATCTCCCCAGAGGCTTCATATAGGACATCAATCCCTGAAGTACCCTTATACTACCTTAGGATGCTCCCCCCGCCACTATCATTCAATATAACTGTTAGTAAGAAGAGAAATACTGCAAAACAGTGTCCTTCACTCCCAATTTTTGGAGGCAGTCCAGAAGGATACCACAACCAGTGGTATGAAAAGCTGCTGAAGGATTCAGTAAGACCAGAAAACTCACTCTACTCACCAAAGGTCATCCACAAGAGCTACCAGTATGGACTTGGTATGATTTCCAGGCCTGAAACCTGACAGAAAGGGATCTAGATAATCTGTTTCTTCAAGGGCCTTTCATAGTTGCAGACCATCACCTTCTCAACCAATCTCCCTAAAATGGGAAGGTTGGAGACTAGATGTTAGTTGTCTAATATTGCCAAATCAAGTGATGGCTTCTTGAGGAAGAGGCATACCAAGCCTCCTTCAAGGCAAGCAGAACTACACAGTTTTTACTAGCATCTCCACTGAAACCTCTTAAGAAGGTTGCTACTTTCCGTTTTGTCACAGTTGCCATTGGAAGAAATTGAGCTTAAATGTGTTCCAGTTTGGTATGGCAGACTGCTGCTTAGGGGACTGAATTTTTTCTAATGCCAGCTATTGCCTTAACTGTTCATCACTGTATTGCTGTTTAAATGTGTTTTTCCTTTTATTCTACTTATTTTATCCTTTTCAGTCTCTGAAAATCAATGTATTTAGAACCGCAGTTGTATTTATAACTAATTTATAACTATAGACTACTGCAATGCGCTCTACATGGGGCTACCCTTGAAGAATATCCGGAAGCTCCAGCTGGTCCAGAATGCG